TAATGTTTAATTTTCCACTGAATTTGCCACTGAATATATATTACATAACATTATATATACATTATTATATATAATAAGGTTTAAAGCACAACATTATTAACCTAATTTTACTAATAGCAATCAAAATGGGTTATGCACAATATATTTAGTCACTAACCGCGGACAGGTGGGACGAGAATCACTTGCGCGGCGTTGACGGTTCGGTGGATAGGTACCTACCTACTGTTATTACCTAAATACCCATAACCTACTGTACAACAAAATTTGACAAACTGTCGCTGCGTCGTGGACACTAAAATGTAAACTGCCTACCTACCTGCCTAAGTACGTCGGTACTAAGGAAACAGTCTTGACGGGTCACTTGTCTTGATAAAAACATGTGTTTACATCTAGTGATATTGTGTGTATATAAAAAAAGTAAGAAGACAGGTAGGCAGAACTAATTACAATTATTATCTAAATATTATAAATGCGAAAGTTTGGATGGGTAGATGTATGTTACTCAATCACGCCAGAACAGCTGAAGAGATCTGGATGATATTTAGCTCAGAGATATAGGTTATACCTAGTCTGGAATAACACATTTGATACCGTTTATTAGGTATTTCGTTGTGGGATAATTTTCGAGTTCACGCGTTTGAAGCCGCTGGCAACAGCTAGTACGGATATAAACTGCGATGACTGTTCCAGTTCATACTTCGGCGTCGTGAACTCTTGAGTGATCGCTGCATGACCACCCGGGGAAAACTAAAGATAATAAAATAGGCAATCTATTTTAGGTATCTATAGAGCCATAGAGGTATAGTATAAAGCGATAACGCAGCGCCTAATAATTTAGTACGAGTGGCACGATGCCAGGTGAGACAACGTGCTTTTTTGGCCGCGCCCACCAATGAGTTCGAGCCCGCGACTTGTGCCATCTACGCAATTCCTTTGTATAGTGCGACGTTGCCACTCTTATTAGTTATTCCGCTTTGTAATATTTTATTTATAGGTGATATTTTGTTTATGTAGGTATTCGATAGATTCCTATAGTCTGTTTTTTTCGCAGGAGACAAAAATAACAGATATTTATTAGATTCGTTTAGCACGAATAATACAGTTTTTATGATTCTGGTTCAGATTAGATTTAATTTTAGTCACTTAAATTTCGTATATTGTTCAAAATAATGAAATAAATCCACAGAATCTGCAGTTACGAAAAAAAGCAATATCATTTTAGTCTCCGGCGAAAAAAAAAGATATATATCATGATTAATTTACCAACTAGTTATTCGTTTACTAAATACGAAAAAATATTTAGACATCATTTTTCTTCTAATCTTGCTGTACTGAATTTATGTAGTCCTTATATTAATAATTATAATTGCATAAGTTGATACAAAATGCTATGCAATAGCTTTACCGCGGCAGTCCCCGAGTGCCACACGTCTTTTTTTAATTATTACTTCACATATTACTTATTTTTAACTTGTCATAACTTTTTAATATCTTACAATAGATTATTTCCTATAATTATTTTTTTATTTCTTTTTAATTGTTTAATTTACCACTGTTTTAATTAATGAAGTATGTAAGTTTTATATTTTCCCTGATTGATATTTTATGTACCGCTGTAGGCCATTAATGCATTTGCAACTCATCATTCTATTTAAAACCTAATGATGCTAAACACTTCTTTCTTCCTTGTAACTTAGGTTATATTAAATTACATAATACAGCTCGAATGCAATAATGTGCCTATGTTTAATGTCAATTAATTAATTATGGTCTAGATTTTTATTTTTATTTAATTGGCTATCAGCAGAAATTTCTATATATTATTTTCTCGTCTTATTATATTAATTGTTATATAATAATTATTATATTATATTTGTTTTACTATCTCAATAATAATAATTTATTGTTTATCTTCTTTACTGAGTTTTTTTGACAATAATCTAAGTCATGAAACATTTTACAGGCTATCTGTTGTCTTTTTATTATTCTTTTAATAATTTAACAAATTTATTGTAATTCAATCTGATGCTTACAATACTATTTTTGTTTTGCATATCTGTCAAATCTGGTTTCATTGACAACGTGTGGAGCCAAATATATCACAAGGGATATAATTTAAATAGTAGGTTTGGTTCAATCTTTCAGATTTTTCTAAACAGCCTAAATACTATTTTTTACTCACTTTTTGCTTACTTATATTTTAAGTGTATTTAACTTGTAACCTTTTGATATTCCATATCAAGGTAAAACAGTTCTCATATCACATTTTTTCTTACTTTCATGTCATATTATCCATCCATCCATTGCAGTCTATAAAAGTCCACAGCTGCACATAGGCCTACCAACACCAAAATGACTGATAGAGGAGTGTCATATTATGTAGCTTTTTATTTTTTATTTTATGTGTCTACAAAATAATATGTAATAATATGCTGTCTAGATTTAAAAATGCATCTATTAAATCCCATTTGTTTGGGAATTAACAATTTTAAGGACTAGTAAACTGACTCTCCCTCACACACCGGATAATTTTTTTCCCAGAATTCAGTTATTATTTCTAACTTGTTCTGCCAATTTTTTGTGGATGTTAAAGGTTTACATAACCTTAATAAAACCATGAGTTAAGTTTATTTATAGCACTTATTTCTTTTCATAATCAGGATTTTCTGATACTAAAGAAAGTTTTGTTGTATAATTTCCGGGTCTGCTGCCCAACGTAAGTAAATGAAATTAAGAAAAACATTAATATATATCACTTAAATTTCGTTCTCTGTACAATGTATCTCAACCCACATTTGTAGGTTAAAATACCTATTTACTATTTTTTTTCATTATAAAAAAGGGCAAGACACGAGCACACGGTCCACCTGATGGTAGGTGGATGCTGTGGTCCATACAAATTTACTATTTCATATTATATGAGTGACGAGGTTATGTTATTAACCCTTAATAGTGAATTTGTTCGATAATTTATCATACTTGTTAATAAATGGGCACAGTGAATCTGATTTTATTATTTAATAAATGTTTTAACTTTATTTATTTTATATACACATGCACCTACCTCGAACAACAGGATTTTTGTTTACCTTTGATCAGTTGGCTCCATTTTGAATATCTTCCTTTCCCAAGTACATAATCAAATTATTAACACGCAGATACGTAATAAATTTATTTGTAGTAGGTTTTGGATACAAAATATTTGACTTTACACTAAACATACTTCATTTTTACAACAAAAATTATAAAACACACCGTGATGGCTGGCACAAAAAAAACGTAATGAAGTTGCATTGACGGACGGGTTGATACAGTGTTGCCAGATATACTGCTTTAAAAATTTTTTTAGCGAGCTTGGATAAATTGTGATGCTGGCATGGAATGCGGCGTACTACAATTGTTAAGAATGTCTAGGACAAGGAGGGAGTATAATAAAATTGCAAAGAAACACAAACAAAGACATTTAAGTATGTATAGTATATATATTTAAATCTCTGCTTGTCGTAAATGTACGCAAACCGCAGGTAGATTCGCAGAATACGCTCGAGCGTCGTTTACTGCTGCTATTGTAGTGTGCGTGAGAATTTGTTTATAATATTTCGTATTTATGTTGCTCGTGCCCGGAGGGAGGCAAAGGAGCGATATGAAACAGATAGCATTTTCGAAAATACCTACTCGCGTCGCGTATCGGCACCTCACAATCCTCTTAATAATGCGCTAAGAAAAAATGCACTGTAACCTCATAATTAGCGTCTGATGATTATAATTTATTTCCAACAATAAAAAAATAGCTTCAGAGGAATATGGCGTGTAACAAAGAAGACTTTTTAACGCTATTTCTGGCTTTTTGCAAGGGAAATATAAATCGTATTTTCTGACGGCACTTAACGGTAAAAAATTGAGAAAAAATAGTATGACTGTTATTTGTGTTTTGGTTCTTAATGCGTCGTTATTTCAAATATTCAGACATCTTTAAATTAATTTTATATATGAGTTGCCAGCAAGCGAATTTCTGAGTCTTGCAGTATTAGCTGTGAGCCAAAAAGGAGTTAACTACGTGGCTGCGGTACCAAGCAGTTGCGAGGTTTGCTTGATAATATGATAATGCTATGCTACATTTGTGCAACAGCCAACATCGTTTTTTTACTCAAATAAATAATTTTACTCTTATCTTAACTGTTTTCTCTGAGTACTAACTACTGTATGCATTGATTTTTGGTACAGTTCTAAAACTACGTAAATGTAGATATATGTATATGTTAATATGTACTGATATTCAAATAATATGTACTACGTACTAGAACGCCGTAGCACGCGCATAGCAGCGTAGTACATTTTTATGGCACAAACTAAGTAAGTATGAGCCTATTGGCTCTAATTGTTGTACATGTTGCAAATGATCAAGTCCCGGTGTCCGTTCTGGTACGTAGTACATGTCACTTCAATGGTTATGATACGATATACTTGTTGTGAAAGTTCAATTTGCACTCGACTTGTTGTAAATAGAAATTATTTTAATACTTTTAAGGGTTTACATTTAAGTATAAAAAAGTAATTTAATAATCTCTAGAAGTTGATCTAGTGATGATAAAACTTGCATCGCCACGTCCATCGCGCTCTCGCTCATTTGTAACAGTTCGTTGAATTTCGGCGCTTGCTAGAAACCATCGAGTTCGGCCAAAGTTTCGGCCCATTTTAGCCGAAGCCAAAGGGTTCGCCGAAGGAGGCTTTTAAGCCGAAGGTGGTTTTTAAGCCGAAGCTTCGGTCGGACACTAGTTTAGTTATCATGAGTAAGTTGACGGTATTTCACCTTCATGTCTGTCCTGCGCCTAATCACTCTCCGGTCGTATCGGATTACCGAGAGATCTCTACTACATCATCACCGAGAAGATGTAGTGAGTGAGAGACACTCGTGCACTATCGTATGGTGCGCAGATGGCTAGTCTTCGTGGGGACCCGTCGGTGTGGAGGACATTATTATGAAGAGTATGGCGTCTCACCTTTACCGTCGTGCGCGTGCTTCACCCGCGGGCGCTCGTGCGCGTCCCCATCGCGCGCGCTCCAATAGCGATCCGACGCGCTGTTTGTGCGCTTGCCCTTATCCGCCTCGCGCCGCCCCGACCGAGAACTAGACCTCTTATCTCGATCTGGAAACAAATTTTACAAAACTCTTAATATACAATATGTTATGGACAAGTGATTAAGACACTATTTGAAATGCCCAGGCAATATGAACAAATTTGTCGGCTCCATGGCACACCCGTTGGGCATTGAGTGACGGAACAAGTATTTGTTTGGCATATAAATAATTGTCCCGGGTGTGGTTGTTTGTCCTTGTGCAATTTACGTCTAAACTGCCTAACAATACAGGAGAAAATCCTACTGTGAGGTAACGTTTTTTAACATAAAAATGTGAAAAAATAAAAGAAAATGACAAGTCAAATCGTGCTTCACAATCAACACTGATTTAATCATTCATATTATGATGTTTGGTCATTACCTTACCTAACCTATCTTTTTAATGCTGTGCCCAATAAGTAACAGACTTTGCTCATAAAGCCAGATCAGTTTAATTATTTCAACAGTTTTTATCATATTGCTTACACATATTAAGCATTTTAGCCGACTTCAAAAAAGGAAGGGGTTTCCATGTTCGACTGTATGTTTTTTATGTATGTTTACCGATTTTTCCGTATTAATTAGGACCCGATTTTGAAGAATATTTTTTTTCATTAGTTGTGAGAGTAGAGTTCATGTAGTTTCATTGAGTGTGAAGTTTTTAAAGTAACATTTTAAGCGGCAATAGCAGCGAATACATAATGTGAAAATATTTTATTGTTTTAAGGAACTAATCTTTGTAGTCTGCTTTTACTTTTGTTTTTTGTTTGTGTTTGTTTTTGTTTTGTTTTTGTTTTATTAAGTTATTTCTTGTCCGCGGTGGTTATTCCGCTAGAACAAGTATGATCAGCGTTGAAGCTGACAAGTTGTTATCGTAATTCGACACTGCTCGTGTTGCTGCTGAGTTGCATTTTTTTATAGAACAGAGAGCAAACGAGCAAACGGCTCACCAGATGGTAAGCATCGACCGCTACCCGTGAACAACTGCAACACTACGGAAACTGCGGGCCCTTTAAGTCGTATCGGTTCGAAAAAACCGTCGGTGGTAAACGACACCACAAAAAAGTCGTGCGAAGAAGAAAGCTTCTAGTAAACCGCAAGGTGGTGGACCGCATTGGTATCGTGAGTTTTGTCGTGATGTGCGTTGTTGGAATTTGATAGCTGGAACGATCGAAACAACTCCTCCGAGCACTCCCCGTGGTAAATGCGATGGAATATGCAAAAGGATGAAACATCTGTTCAAAGCGCCTGCGAAGCGAGGCCATCAAAAAGAAAGGAGATGGCATCATCAGGAAATAAAATCGCCTGCTTAATAATGGTGTAAACATAATTACATTGTAATGATGTATGGACGGTATGATGAAATTGTATCGCACTACCCTCAATATGTAGTGAATTACGCTGTTTTTTTTTTTTTAATTTTTTATTCTTTTAAGAGATTTTATAAAATTATTATAATGCCACTCCCATTGCATTTACATTTTTTTAATCTTCTTTTAAGTCCAACTTGGACCATTTTGTACAGCATTCTGGCTTCCCCAGACAAAATGAAAAAAGATATCGGATTTTGTAATAATATTCTGGCTCTTAAAAAATCGGGTGAACAATAAATATTTTATCAAATTAATATAAACGTATAATTGTGGGTTTTAAATATGCAGATTTTGTAAAATCTATTGCGTTATAAATGTGTTTGTTGTAATAATGACAAGTGAAAACTAAAACTGTGAAGTGCTCGAGCTGTAACATCGTTATTAATGAAGCTTTAGCTTTTATTCAAAATAAAGCGGATGTTATATAATATAATATCTGCTATATGCCGAAGCTCGTTCTCTGTTAAAGTTACTGTTCGACTCTTGTGCAAGTAAGACCCAGAAAGTACGACAAAAAAAGGAGCGGGCAAATCGAAGCGTGATATAGATGATATCATCGGTTTTATTAAGCAGGTGGATCCTGAAAAGGTGCCAGTTTTTGTGGCTCGTGAACTTCATAAGTTGCCGCCGATTTCCTTCGATCATATCGACGTGACGAACTTACTGAAGAAGCTATTAATTTCAGAAAGTGATTTGTTAAAAATTAAATAAAATACACGGATCTAAAGCAATATAATGCACTGAAACGAGAGGTTGCAGATATTAGAAATACATCTATTGTTAATAATTTTGAATACACCAACATTAACATGAAACAGGATGCCTTTTTATCAGATTCACACTGTGATAGTGGTACGATTGGCTTACCACACATTACATTATCCCCCGAAAACCTCGTCGAGTTAGATTTGTGCGATATTAATAATGAGCTAAGTCCGGTATCTCAACAACAATGCTCACAACAACTCCAATGCAAAGCGGACACGTGGATGCCAGTACTGCGGTTTCGCACACCCCCACTACTGCGTGTCAGCTGCTGCCCGCCTGCAGTAACGCCGATGCAGCAGGTAACAGCCGCACTGCAGTTTCGAACTTAGTGACATAATATGATAATGAGCCCGCGAGGGACCCGATCACTTTGACATCTACTAATGTAAAACAACCGATCCTATTTTGATACGGTTAAAGACTGTGAACGGAAGATATTGAAACCAGACAAGGAATGGACCCTTATACAAAGACGAATACTGAAGAATAGGTTTATAGGGATGAAAGGAAAAGCAAATTCAGAGATTATAGATAATTTTAAAGCAGCTGACATTAAGATACCATTATTTATCAATAATTATGACAAAGAAACATCAGCGGATGATATAATAAACTATATATTTAAGAGAACACAAGTGAAAGTATTTTTAAAGGAGATTAAAATGAAGTATGAGCGTGAATATAATGCTTTTAAGGTTTATGTACCGAGATTTAAAATTGATATATTTCTTGATAATATCTATAGTCTATGGCCTGAGAGAATATCAGAAATTTCATTTCGTACTGTTTAATAAAAATAATACTTCAAAGCATGTAACGGCAAATGATTTATTTAATATGATAATTTTGAACCACAAATATTAGATTTTATAGCAAATAATTGTTACGATCCTTATTTTTAGACATTTGAAGCCTATTTTTTTTATATAGAATAAAGTGCAAACGATCACACAGTTCATCTGACGGTAAGTGGATACGGTGGCCCACAGATTTAACCTAGATTAAGAAACAAAATGCAGATGCGTTGTCACCCTTGAGGACTAAGATGAAAAGCCTCGATTCCAGTAAAACAGGCCTCCGGTTCTCTACTCCGGTATTCTGTGAGAGCGTGGTTCTTCCGCAACTTGACGCAACCCATTCGTGCTACAACCATAATGTAGCTGCAGCGTATAATACACGTATTGATGTCGTTATAGAATATTTTCTTTCGAATAAAACTGCTTTATAAACCGCTATCTCTCCGTTCTATGAGTAAAGTCATTTTATTGATCGAAAATTGATTGAATCTTAGTTGTTCTTGTTGTTCTTGATATTGAAAAAACTTTCAACAAAATTATCTTAAAACGACCAGAAATAAACTTTAATATCACTTTAATTTTTAGGTATTTGTACTCAACAAGTTTTTTTCATAAAACATAAACACTCACGCCTGTCATCCAGAGGGGTAGGCAGAGACTACAGACTTCCATTTGGCACGATACTGACACACCTCTCTCACCTCCTTCACATCCATACACCTCCGCATACATGCTCGTCGGTTAACTCTTTCACGCATATGTTATAGATCATTTCAACCATGCTTTTCAAAGAGCTATGGCTAACACCAAAACCCACGCAATAGACGAACACATGATCAAGTTCAAGGGGCATAACATAATGAGGCAATACGTAAAAAATAAACCAATAAAATGGGGGTTCAAGATGTGGTGTAGGGCATGCTCTTCCACCGGCTATTTATTTCAGTTTGATTTGTATACTGGGAAGAAAAGAGGTGGCACTGAAACGGGATTGGGTGGATCGGTTGTCTTGCAATTGTCTGAAAGCTTACAGGGCATAGGGTGTGAAATATACTTTGATAATTTTTTCAATTCTCCTAATCTTCAGTATACACTGATGAATAAGAATATAAAAGCGTGTGGAACAGTGCGCTCAAACAGGAAAAATGTACCGAAAAATATGCCAACAGATAAAAATATGAATCGTGGAGATATTTTTGCAGCCAGCAGCAATGGAATATCTTTCATAAAATGGATGGATAACAAAGCCGTGTTTCTGCTAACAACTTTTTTATCACCCATACCTACGACGATAGTCAAGAAGCGTGTTTCTGGTAGTGCTGAAAAGGTGAATGTAATTTGCCCTGAAGCTATAATAAAATATAAACATATGGGAGGGGTCGATCTGATGGACCAGAAAAAAGTATACTATGAAGTGGATCGAAAAGCAAAAATAAAATACTACCTAAGGTTGTTTTTTGACTTACTAGATATTGCGATGAATAATTCATATGTGATTTATTGCAAGCTGCATGAAGCAAAACGTATTGAAGGAACTCTGCTTTCAAGCCTAGAATTTCGCCAAGTAGTAGCTCGGTCACTTATTGGTAGCTTTTCGTCTCGACAAAGATCTTTGTCGTCAGTTGTTATGACGAAAAAGCGAATTTCTTATACACAGAAGCGCGGTACATCTTCACACGTAATGGTAAAAGTAAGTAACAGAAAAAGATGCGTACAGTGTGCTAAAAGCCGTATAGAGAATCGCACAAATAACACTTGCTCTATATGCAACGTTCATTTATGTTTTACTACAGACCGCAACTGCTTTGTGGAGTACCACTAAGTTTTATTTTTGTTTTATAAATAATTTCTACAATAAATAATTTGTACTTTATATCATAGTTTGTGTTTATTTCACAATAAAATCATTCTAGTATTTTTTGTCCGTACATAAGAAAAATGTACCTTAACTCATATTGAGACACTTATGTCCCCTTCTCAAAAACATGGAAATATACATAAATATTGTTTTATTCATACGTTTTTAATTAAATTAGACCAAAATAGACATAAATAAAAAAATCATTTTAACTATCTTAGAATAGTTATAAG